TAGTACGCCACTGGTCACCAGTCACCCCCTCCCTTACTCTCACTAGTCACCATCCCTCCCTCTGTCCAGGGCTGGGAACTAAAATCAGCCCTGGAAAAAAATTCTATACCAGCCCAATAAATCTTGTGTCACTTTGTTCCCCTTCCCTACTGTATGTCTATTTGTCCCCCCAACAAACCTTCTGTGTGTCTCTTTCTCCCCTCTCCTCCTTGTGTCCCTCTTCCCCATCTCCTCCCTGTGTCTCTCTCTTACCCCTCTGTCTCTCTATTACCCCATCTGTCTGTGTCCCCCCTTCTCCTGTGTCTCTCTATTACCCATCTCTTTGTCCCCCCAACCCCTATGTCTATTACCCCTCTGTCTCTGTGTGTCCCCTTCCGTGGTGTCTCTCTATTACCCCATCTGTATGTGTCCCCCTTTGCCCTATGTCTCTCTATTACCCATCTATCTTTTGCCCCCAACCTCGTGTCTTTCTATTACCCCTCAGTCTCTGTCCCTCTTTTCCCCTGTGTTTCTATTACCCCTCTATTTGTCCCCCTTCCCCTCTTTTGTCCCCCCCTTCCCCTCTTTTTGTCCCCCTTCCTCTTTTGTCCCCCTTCCCCTCTATTTGTCCCCCCTTCCCCTCTTTTTGTCTCCCCCCCCCTTCTGACCTTGTTACAGGAGGACTGAGGGAGGGGGCAGAGCTAGCTACCATGCTCCCTTACGGTTCCCAGAATTCCCAGCATCTACACATCATAGAGTAATCCATACTCTATGATGTGTAGATGCTGGGAATTATGGGAACCGCGAGGGAGCATGGTAGTTTGCTCCGCCCCCTTCCTCAGTCCTCCTGTGCTGACAGCCGCATGGCTGTCAGTATCAGTGAGTGTGCTGTTGGATTGCTTAGGCGGCCGCTCAGCACACTCACTGATACTGACAGCTGTCAGCACAGAAGATGGGGCCGCTGGCCGAGATATTATTAAAATATAGGGAGCAGGGCTCCCTCTCCATCTCCAGCCCCCCAGGTGCCGCGGCCCCCCGGTGGGCCAGTCCTGCCCTGCCTCTGTCACTTGTCACCCCTCACTCTGTCACCAGTCACCCCCTCCCTCACTCTATCACTGTGTCACCCCCTCCTTTACTCTGTCACTAGTCACCCCTCCCTCCCTCTGTCACTAGTCACCCCCTCCCTCACTCTGTCACCAGCCACCCCCCCTCACTGTGTCTCCCCCTCACTCTGCCACCAGGTGCCACTCTGCCACCTGTCACCTCCTCCCACACTCTTCCACCTGTCACCCCCTCCCTCACACACACTCTGTCACCTGTCTCCACCCTTGGACAAGTAGATTTTAAAAAAAATATTCCACACCCCTGCACATGCAGACAAGCACTAACGCTCAATACACACATGCATTCACACTGACACTATATACAAAATAGCATATGTAGTCATCCAGACATGCACAAGTGCATTCACACAGACTCAGATACAAACATGCATTGATACACAGGTCTTCA